TGAAAATTGATGGTATAGGGCAAATATAATTCAGATGACCGTTATATCTACTACTGTGAGCAAGAGTTCTTTAAAAAGAAATGGAGTATCCCTCACAGTCAACAGAAGAGTCTAAAATGCAGTACTTGGGTGCAATCTCAAAAATGACAGAAAGATCTCAGTTCAAATTCAAGGCAAACCATTCAACATCACAGTAATTCAGGTCTATGCCCCAACCACTAATGCTGAAGAAGCTGAAGTCAATTAGCTTTATGAAGGCTTACAAGACCTTTAAGAACTAACAACAAAAAAAGATGTCCTTTCCATAATAGGGGATTGGGATGCAAAAGCTGAAAGCCAAGAGATACCTGGAGTAACAGGGAAGTTAGGCCTTGGAGTACAAAATGAAGCAGGGCAAAGGTTAACAGTTTTCCAAGAGAACCCACTGGCCACAGCAAGCAACATGTACCAACAATGCAAGAGACGAATCTACACATGGACGTCACCAGATGGTCAATACCAAATTCAGATTTATTATAAGTGAAAGGCAAAGAAGAAAAGGAAAGACATACCCATTTGAATGCAGAGTTCCAAAGAAAAGCAAGAAATAATAACAGCAAGAAGGAATAGCAAGAAAGAATAAGAAAACTTTCCTCAGTGATCAATGCAAAGAAATAGAGGAAAATGATACAATGGGAAAGACTAGAGATCTCTTCAAGAAAGTTAGAGATACCAAGAAAACATTTCATGAAAAGATGGGCTCAATAAAGGACAGAAATAGTATGGACCTAACAGAAGTAGAAGATATTAAGAAGAGGTGGCAAGAATACACAGAAGAACTATACAAAAAAAGATCTTTATGACCCAGATAATCATGATGGTGTGATCACTCACCCAGAGCCACACATCCTGGAATGTGAAGTCAAGTGGGCCTTAGGAAGCATCACTACAAACAAAGCTACTGGAGGTGATGGAATTCCCGTTGAGCTATTTCAAATCCTAAAAGATGATGCTGTGAAACTGCTGCACCCAGTCAGCAAATTTGGAAAACTCAGCAGTGGCCACAGGACTGGAAAAGGTGTTTTCATTCTAATCCTAAAGAAAGGCAATGACAAGGAATGCTCAAACTACCGCACAATTGCTCTCATCTCACACGCTAGCAAAGTAATGCTCAAAATTCTCCAAGCCAGGCTTCAACAATATGAGAACCGTGAATTTCCAGATGTTCAAGCTGGTTTTATAAAAGGCAGAGAAACCAGAAATCAAATTTCCAACATCCGTTGGATCATTGAAAAAGCAAGAGAGTTCCAGAAAAACATCTATTTCTTCTTTATTGACTGTGCCAAACCCTTTGACTGTGTGGGTCATAACAAAGTGTGGAAATTCTTAAACAGATATGAATTCCAAACCACCTGACCTGCCTCCTGAGAAATCTGTGTGCAGGTCAGGAAGCCACAGTTAGAACTTAACGTGGAACAACAGACTGGTTTGAAATCAGGAAAGGAGTATGTCAAGGCTGTATATTGTCAGCCTGCTTATTTAACTTATATGCAGAGTACATCATGAGAAACGCTGGGCTGGATGAAGCACAAGCTGGAATCAAAATTTCTGGGAGAAATATCAATAACCTCAGATATGCATATGAAGCCACGCTTATGGCAGAAAGTGAAGAAGAACTAAAGAGCCTCTTGAAGAAAGTGAAAGAGGAGAGTGAAAAAGTTGGCTTAAAGCTCAACATTTGGAAAACTAAGATCATGGCATCCAGTCCCATCACTTCATGGCAAATAGATGGGGAAACAATGGAAACAGTGACAAACTTTATTTTCTCGTGCTCCAAAATCACTGCAGATGGTGACTGCAGCCATGAAATGAAAAGATAGTTGCTCCTTGGAAGAAAAGCTGTGACCAACCTAGACAGCATGTTAAAAGGTAGAGACATTACTTTGCCAACAAAGGTCCATCTAGTCAAAGCTATGGTTTCTCCAGTAGTCATGTATGGATGTGAGAGCTGGACTATAATGAATGCTGAATGCTGAAGAATGCACGCCTTTGAACTGTGGTATTGGAGAAGACTCTTGAGAGTCCCTTGGACTGCAAAGAGATCCAACCAGTCCATCCTAAAGGAAATCAATCCTGAATATTAACATTGGAAGGACTGATGCCAAAGCTGAAAAATCCAATTCTTTGGCCACCTGATGTGAAGTAGAGATTCATTGGAAAAGACCCTGATGCCAGGAAAGATTGAAGGTAGAAGGAGAAGGGGACAGAGGATGAGATGGTTGGATGGTATCACTGACTCAATGAACATGAGTTTGCATAAACTCTGAGACTTGGTGATGAACAGGGAGGCCTGGCATACTGCAGTCTATGGGGTCGCAGAGTTGGACACGACTGAGTGAGTGAATTGAACTGAACTGAATACTGTACTCCATTGTGACTGTGCTAATTTACATTCCCACCAACAGTGCAAGAAGGTTCCCTTTTCTCCACATCCTCTCCTGCATTTATTATATGCAGATTTTTTTGATGATGGCTATTTTGAGCAATGTAAGGTGATACGTCATAGTAGTTTCAGAGAGACAAAGACACCCAAATATTCAATTCAGTTCAGTTCAGTTCAGTCCAGTTGCTCAGTCGTGTCCGACTGTTTGTGACCCCATGGACTGCAGTACGCCAGGACTCCTTGTCCATCACCAACTCCTGGAGTTTACTCAAACTCATGTCCATTGAGTGGGTGATGCCATCCAATCATCTAATCCTCTGTCGTCCCCTTCTCCTCCTGCCTTCAATCTTTCCCAGCATCAGGGTCTTTTCAAATGAGTCAGTTCCTCACATCAGGTGGCCAAAGTATCAGGTGGAGAACAGTATGGAGGTTCCTTAAAAAACTAAAAGTAGAATTATGATATGATCCAGCAATCCCACTTGTGGGCATATACCCAGAGAAAGCCATAATTCTAATAGGTTCTTAAATCTGGGTCTTGTGTATCAATTATGGAATAATATGTTTTAATTAGAGATACCCAGCTAACTGACACCTAGCAATATATTTGCATAAAATACTTACGTATATGCAAGTTCTCAGCTTGAGCATAGTGAATGTACTTAAGAGGAGCATAAGTGGATATATTTAAGAGGACTTTCACTGAAAACACTTTCCTGCTTCCATCACAGCCATATTTACACTAGACAGATTCCCCCTCCTGAAACATTTCAAGATCAGATGCAGAGCCTTGAGTAAATGAACCAAAAAAAAGCTCCTTGCTTTTTTGGAGCAATATGGCTTTGGAATTTGGCAGCAAGAGTCTCTGATAGGGCTTGACCTGAAAAAGAACATGCATTGGCAAACAGACCAGAAAAGTCAGCTTGTTAAGAAAGATAAGGATCAAATAAGGGAACAGAGAGAGACAAGGACTAAGAAGAGAGATAGAATAAGTTAATGTTTTGGGTTTTTTGGGGGAAAGCCATCCAAAACTTATGCATTTTTATAATAAATGCACACTATTTTTTTAATTGAGATATAACTGATATTTAACATCACATTAGTTTCAGATATACAAAATAAAATTTAATATTCATATTGTGAAGTGATCAACAGTAAGTCTAGCTAACATCCATCACTGCAAATAGTTACATTTTTTTTCCTTTGTGATGACAACTTTTAAGATATGTTCTCTTAACAACTTTCAGCTACAAAATACAATAATTATATATATATCATTCAACTAGTTTTTGTATGGAATTTTGTACTTGCGTTTTGTGGCTAAGACATCTCTCTTTCCTGACCATCCTCACTCTGGCCCTTGAAGTTTCGCCATGTGAGTTTTACAGATAACTGTTCCCCTAAGATCTTTTTAAAGACAGTTTTAATGTCCTACTTCAGGGGCACTTTTTAAAAAGTGTTATTTCATTCTTTTCATTACTGATAAGAGAGAAACCAGAATCAGAACTATAAAAGTGGATAGGTATGATGCCTGGAATAATTGCTCTTTTGATATTATGCCATAAATCATTTTCACTTATTATTTTGCATATCAGTCATAGGATGACCACTTTCATTTTAAGTTTAGGTTGATGCTGGTAAATGTCTGTAGTTAAAAGAAGGAACTCTATTAAAATTCTGTACTAATATCACTGACCACAGTGCCCCAAACAATAGCCATACATTAAATATTTGTCAAAAGAAGAATTTGACTGGTGCATCCTGTGTGAATAATGGCATTTCATGGTAAAGGAAGGTAAAGTTTGAGTCTCAAATAATTCACTTTTTTTTTTGTAGTAACTAGGGACGAAATGATAATAATTCCTTATAATTTATGAGCAATATTTCATAGCATTGAAAATGGAAAGTAAGGTACTGACATTTTTCCCAGTGAAAGTCAGGTTAGACATCCCTTAAATGAAAACTATAGACATCTGCCAAATAAAATGGAACCACACATTGAATTATGATTGATTCTTGAATAACAATAAGATAAAATAGAGCACAGAGAGTAATAGAACTTTTCAGTCAGTAAGTGAACTCTTCCTTAAATAAGGAAAACAAAACTTTATTAGATGAATGGGTGAAAGTTTTTGTCATAGCAGAAAACCTTATTAAAGGCAAAGGGTCACCAGCTCAAATGCATAGAGAAAATAAAAATTTTTTTTTTCTTTTTTTTGGCCAAGAGCATGTGGGATCTTAGGTCCTCAACCAGGGATCAAACCCACACCTGCTGCATTGGAACTGAAGAGTCTAAACCACTGGTCTGCCAGGAAAGTTCTTAGAAATTTGACAAGCACATATATTGGTGGATCAGGCCTGGTTTAGATAACAGGAAATGACGACTGAGAACATGGAGAAACATGTCATTCTTAAAGAGGTTCAAACAACAAGATAGACTAATACTGTGCCTGGGGGAAAAGTCCCCAAAAAGCACTGACAAGACTCCTTTTGCCCAGACTTGGCCATGGCCATCTATTATATATAATATAATATATATATTCACCTTTCTGTGAAGCCAGTAGGCACACTTCCAACCTACATACAGCAGAATTGGTGTCTGATGTCCTTGTGTTCCTCAGAGGCTGGATCTCAAATAACTTGATACTCCATTTCCTTAACTTCTTGGCTGCTGACACTCTGCTGTGTTCTCCTTTTGTTACTGAAGACAAGACGGTTAGTGCTGTGGAGCTCATGTTTCCATGGATGGGAGAGCTCCCGTTCTGCTGCCCAGAGGGGTCAGTACTGGATGAAATGCTTCTGGTCCGCTTCTCCACTCTCTTCATCTCTCCATCAGGAGGAGCACACAATCTTGATAACAGCCTGTTTCTTGGTGGGTGGAGTCGGTTTGTTGAAAATTGTGGTCCAGCCTGGTAGAGTTCTTTCCTTGTTCTGAGCTGAGACAAGATAGAATTTGTCTCCTTTAATTCTTGATGCCTGAATGTGCCCAAATGCTCTGTAGTTTCACTTCTACCCATATGTGGATCCCAGATCTAGACTTGAAAGTAGCAGAAAGCTGCCATATTGACTATGGATCCAAGCTACACCCACCAGTTAAATTTTGTGAGCCACAAAGGAGGTAATGAATTTAAACTCAGACTTGGCTCTTACTCTGTTTATTACCTGGTTCAGGTATTTTAGTGAAAAGTGAAAGTGTTAGTCGTTCAGTCGTGTCCAACTCTTTGTCACCCCATGGCCGTAGCCCACCAGGCTCCACTGTCCATGGAATTCTCCAGGCAAGAATGATGGAGTGGATAGCCATCCCTTTCTCTAGGGGAACTTTCTGACCCAGAGATCGAACCCCAGTTTCCTGGTTGACAGGAGAGTTCTTTACTGTCTGAGACACCAGGGAAGCTGAAAAGTTATGAACCTAGGGGACCTTACAACCCTGCCTCAGCAAACCAAGGGGCTTTTCTTGACCGCCTGTCATGTTACATATCTTTCTTCAACTCTGAGCACAAGGATTAAGAGAACTTTCAAAAAATAGTTAAGAAAGCATGGACTAGGTCTTTCTATTTCTGCAAGATAAGGGTGATTTAGGTAAGCTGTAACCAAGATATGGGACAAAAATACCTGTGGTGTTCTTTTGTCTTAATATTCTAGGCTTTATCATGATAATTTTTACCTCCTTGTTGTCTTAGTGTATCTCATATAGAGAATAAAGCTTCCCAAGTGGCTCAGGAGTAAAGAATCCACCTGATAATGAAGGAGCTGCAGGAGACATGGGTTCCATCTTCCCTGGGTCAGGAAGATCCCCTAGAGGAGAAAATGGCAACCCACTCCAGTATTCTTGCCTGGGGAATCCCATGGACAGAGACACCTGGTGCGCTACAGTCCGTGGGGTTGCAAAGAGTTGGACGACTAAGCATGCACGAGTAAGACAGAGAATAATGGAAGTCTATTTCTTGATGCCTTAATGATTAAGGAAAAGTCATCACACACAATTACTCTAAACTGTTGTTTATAAGTGAGTAAGCAAGTTTCCTTAAGGGGGAGAAGCAGCATGCAGGTCACATCCATAGAAGTTTGTTTACCTCACTTAAACCAGACACTCTGAATCATAACTATCGAGAACTAGTTTTAATGGACAGCCAGATCTCTGTAAAGTCTGTTACTAGTACTAGTGCATACTGGTAAGGACACTTCCCTAAATATGGTTCTGTAAGAACTGGGGGCTCTGGAGGCCCCCAGTATGTTAGTATGTTATCTGTTATTAGTATGTTATATACTTACTCTTCTCATGGAGAATAGGTATTAACAATTGGAGATTATGATAACACAAACTTGGGAGGTGGTGCGGGGACATCTCAACCAAAGAAAACTATAAAACAAGGAGTCAGGGAAGACAGTGAAGAGGATCCCAGTACTACCAGCAGAACAGCAAAGCGGGTTTCCCGATCCCTCGTGCAGTTAGATTCCCGCTGAAATGTGTCAGCTCCACCTCAGATCATCAGGGGTCAGATCCTGGAGGCGGGGGACTCCTTGCTTTAGATGTATTAGAAGATCCCCACTTTGGGCAATCATGGATTGTCTATCTGAGTGCAAGTATTTAAGAACAACAATATGTTCAAATGTTTCAGGAACTGCAGGACTGTATAATTCTAGGAAACATGGATTTGAAGAGGACTAATTTGACCATTGAAGGATATGGAGAAAAATACTTGAATTATAGGGTTGTGTTAACATTACAAGTTGGCTACAGAGAACCAAATGTATTTCTTAAGATGGATTCACCTTCTTTTGAGTGTGGTGGTTGAGTCGCTAAATCATTTCTGACTCTTGCGAACCCATGGGCTGTATAGCCTGCTAGGCTCCTTTGTCCTTGGGATTCTCCAGGCAAAAATACTGGAGTGGGTTGCCATTCCCTTCTCCAGGGGATCTTCCTGATCCAGGAATCGACCCGGGGTCTCCTGCATCGCAGGCAGATTCTCACCGACAGAGGTGTAAGGGAAGCCCTCTGAGGGAAGTCCCCTCTCTGTAGTTGTCATCTTTTTGGTGAAGAAGAAGGTCCCCTTGAGTGACTAGAGCTCACACCTAACAAAGTATAAGCAAGTAGTTGCGCCAAATGGGGAGGTCTGGAGCAACACAGACCCACCAAGATAAAATTCTGGAGCACTTCCGGTTCCACAGGAAGTGGCGGCTCTGGTAGGAAAACGGGACAAACAGATGGGTCTGGGGATGAGTGGCTCCTGAGCCCCCCGAAGCCCTCACTTCATTTTCCCTCCCTCTGTGAGATCCTGACTCGGTGTCCTATAGCGAGGTAAAGGAGACGGGCAAGTGCTCTGCTTCGTGTGGTTTCTCTGCAGAAAGATCGCTAAATTGCACTTAATCACGAAGACGTTCTTTCCAAGAACAATACATTTTAATTTCCAACAGTAGTTTGCCTTTACTTGGCAGTGTGAGTCTCTTTTCTGCTGTGCTACCACAGGGACCTTTAAATCCCCCACACCAGGTCATAATCCGATAAATAGGATTTAAACAGTGTCTGAGTCTAACTCAAATATTGAATTAACATCCCCACCAATGACATTTGGATCAGGAGTGATTCAGAAGGAATGGTGTAGACTCTCTGACTTCCCTTATTTATTTTATGACTGCAAGAAATAGATCATTAAATAGAAAACAAATTCAGGTGTTCACCCAGATGTAATGTTTCTGGGAAAATGAATTTGGGAGCCACCAGTATGCCGCAGATCTTGGTTTATGTTTCCATTTCCAGTCTGGTTCTCCTCATCCTATTTCTCCTAGTGATACCTTCAATTCTCTCAGCTGGTGCTACAATTGCAAGGCTTCTATTTTTCTCAGGCTTCTGCGTCATGAATGGGCTTGGAAATTATTAAACTAGTTACTCTGTTGAGAAGCAACACAATTTACAGTAAGTCTGATGACCCTGTTCTTGGTACTTACTACTCATGACGATGTAAGTACTTGATAAAATTAGCCATGGATATTAACTATTGTGCATACCCAGCCACACCTTTGCAAATATTTTCTAGTAGATATTATATTTCTCCAAGGAAGAAATTCAAAATATTCTACTTTAGAAATTGGAAAAAAAATATTGAAATATATGATGATGATGATTGATATAAATAGACTACAAAGCAGACTCCAATGAATTGGTCGACCCCAAAGCAGTTTTGGGCAAATGCCCTGCATGGTATGATCTAGCTCTTTCTGCAGAATTTTGTCACATTCTCTGAAGGGGATTCCTTCATGTAGGACCAAGCACACTGAATGAATAAAAACCCTGTTATTGTGAAAAATAAAAGTGTCCCATAGTGACATAGTGACACCATAGTGATGGTGAAGAATTCTGTACTACTTGTGAGATTTAGTTGCATGTAACAAAAAATCCTGAATAATCAATAGTTTATTTCTCTGAAAGTCTGGATGAAGGAAGCACGGAATTGTAGAGTCCATGGACATCAAGGGCTTCCCTGATAGCTCGGTTGGTAAAGAATCCGCCTATAATGCAGGAAACCCTGGTTTTATCCCTGGGTCAGGAAAATCCACTGGGGAAGGGACAGGCTGCCCACTCCAGTCTTCTTGGGCTTCCCTTGTGGCTCAGCTGGTAAAGAATCCACCAGCAATGCAGGAGACCAGGGTTAGATCCCTGAGTTGGGAAGATGCCCTGGAGAAGGGAAAGGCTACCTACTCTAGTATTCTGGCCTGGAGAATTCCTTGGGATCACAAAGAGTCAGACATGACTGAGTGAGTTTCACTTTCACTTTGGACATCAAGAACTCTGGCTCCTTCATTCTTGCTACTCAGGTCTTCATTTCTATCTTGCGTTATGGTCCAAGACAGCAGCTGCATCATAGGCCATCATATTCATACCTTTTTAAGGAGACTTTCTAGAAGTCTCACACACTGTTTCCACTTTTATTTTGTTAGACAAATGCAAGTTTCGTGGTCAAATCTAGCCACAAGGGATGGTAGGAAATATATTTTTCTACTAAGTGTTCAGCTGAGAAGCACACTTCAGTTACTAAGAAACAAAGGGAGAACATTCAGGGACTTCCCCGGTGGCCCAGTGGTTAGGATTCTGAGCTCCCGATGCAGGAGGCCCAGGTTTGATACCTGGTCAGGGAACTGGATCCTGTGTGCTGCAAGGAAGACCCAGCACAGCCAAACACCAATAAATAGATAAATAAGTAAATGGAGAACGTCAGAGTCAATTAGCAACATTTATCTCAGATGATACGAAGAAACATATATCTGTCACATCCAAGAGTCTGACTACTTTATTATAATACAAACTAAATTTCTCCAGACTTATCTCTGGAGATTAAAAACAAAGAGCCACATTAAAAGTAATAACTTATGTTTTATGGGTCCTTGCTCTTACTTGCTTTCCTATGTTCCCAGAATCTTCACAACACTCTCTGTACTCTTAGGGAAAAAAAATATGTTTTGTGCTTTCAAATAAATCTAATCAGCTTCCATGGGGCAGGCAGAAGGATTGTAAATACTTTATCAAGTGTTCAACTGAGATCTACAGTTCAGTTATTAAGAAATAAAGGGAGAATTAGGATTCAGAGTCAATTAGACATACTTTGCTTAGATGATAGGAAAAAAGACTCTCTGCATGACCCTCTACTCACTGGACATAATGCATGTGCCATCATGCTCGTTGTTCTAACTCCTACTTTAGCTTGTGGGCATCATCCCTGTCTGATTCTGTGCTTACTTTAAGGGATCATAGCCCCTTAATTTAATTTAATTTAATTTAATAGCCCCATAATATTTCACACACATGCAAGAAGTGTTCACATACACAATG